TACTTCCTACGCAAAATCCACAAACATGATACCAAACCACCAGGAAGACCCGTCATTTTGTCAGCCCCTTTGTCGGAGTATATTGATCAATTTCTGCAGCCTATAGTCAAAAAGACCAAAGCATATTTGAGCGACACTAGCCAGATCCTCTGCTTGTTGGAGGAAGTAGAGTGGAGGGATGGGTATGTCCTTGTCACCACGGATGTCTCATCCCTCTACTCGATCATTCCACACCAGAAAGGCATTGAGGCTGTTGAATATGTCTTTTCCACCTCCAATTTATCTCCCAATCATCAAGCCTTCATTTTAGAGGGCATCCACCTCATATTAACAAATAATTACTTTCATTATATGGATTCCTTTTATTTATAGACCCTTGGAATGGCGATGGGGACCAGATTCGCACCCAGCTATGCAAATTTATTCATGTCCCATTGGGAAGAGTCTTTTATATATGGTGACCATAGCTGGGTGCAGAATCTGGTCACTTATCGCCGTTACATTGAGGATTTTTTTTTGGATCAGGAGAGGTTCTAGAGAGGAACTTGTTTCATTTTTGACATGTCTTAATTCAAACACTTGGGGTGTGAGACTCACCATGGATCATAGTGACAGCCAGGTTAATTATTTGGACCTACGCATTTTTATTTCTAACAGTAAGATCTGCACTGGAACCTTCTTCAAGAAGGTGGATGTTAATAGTTTTATTTTTTTATGATAGCTGTCACTATAGTCCCTGCTTGGATAACATTCCTAAAGGACAAATGATGAGGATAAAGAGATATTGTACCAGTATAGATTCCTATGAAACCTAAGCACACAAACTATTGAATGACTTTACAGCGAAACATTATTCAAAAACAATATTGGATAAAGCATATAAAGAAATACAGATCATTGACAGGTAAGAACTTTTAAGGAATGTTAAAAAAGAAAAGAAAAATAAGTAGAGATAATAAGACAAATGAGGTTCCACTTATTTTCGACTACTCAGGGAGAAGTAAGGAATTAAAGAAGATTGTGAACAAATATTGGTTTATTTTAGAGGAGGATCCTCTTTTAAACCAGATAGTCCCTAAAAAACCAAGGATTATATATAGAGGGACACCTAGCATCAAAAACCATCTTGTGAGAGGCAGTTTTAAACAGGAGAATCAGATTAAAAAATTTTAAAATCAAGATATAGGGTTTTTTCAATGCGGATACTGCCTAGCGTGCAGAACCATAGGAGCCTCTAAATGCGTGTAATAGGAGGGAACACGAAACAGACATATCAAGTCAAACAGTTAATAGCTTGTCATACCACCAACTGTGTCTATGTCCTTACTTGTCCCTGTAATATGCATTATGTAGGGAAAACTACCAGACAGATACATATTCGCATTGAGGAACTTTTACGAAATATTAAAAGGGGCTTCAAGGAGCACCCTTTATCCTCACATTTTATACAATAACATCAAGGAGACGCCACAAAATTGCAGTTTATTGGGATTGAAAGGGTCAATAGGAATTGGAGAGGCGAAGATCTGGTCAAAAAAATTGTCAAAACAAGAGATGAGATGGGTGTTTAAGATGAAGTCACTATTCCTTAAAGGTTTAAACGGGGCTTTTGAGATCTATCATTTTTTATAATTAACAACCAACTCCTGAAGTTTGTTTTTGTCTTCTTGTTATGATGTCTAATATTCTCTCTTTCCTTTTCTCCTAGAAGAAGCAGTGTTAGTGCTTGTATGTATAACCTCCTGTTTACAGCATAACTTCATATGTATGTAGTGTTCGCAATGTATCTATTACTGCCACTTTAAGAGTATCCCTTTATATTTTGCCTCTGGTAAGAGCATCATTTTATGAAAAGATGTAGTATTGTATGTGACTTTATTTGTATATCTACATTCCCTACTGTTCCCCCCCATCCTCTGGACTCTAGTAGAATCTCCCTTATTGATCTGAGTTAACTAAATTTTAGATCTATTATCCCTTCAGGATTAGAATAGAACCTTATATTATATTGGGTCACTGCACCATTTGTAAAAATAAAGTGCAATATTATGGAGGTGAATATCTCTTTAAATTCTTTATTTGGATTCAGCAATACCCATTCTCTAGTTACAACACAGAGATACCCTTTATAATTAATTTTTTATATTTGTGTGTTTTTTTAGTTGCTCTTTTTTACCTCTGGAACTCCAAGTGGAGTCTTTGCTTATATAAGCTTGAATTTTTCCTGAATTTAACAATACAAGTTTTCAATACACATGTATGAATAGGGTTTTTAACATAAAAGCAAACAGTCACATACCCTTCTGTTTGTTTGATTTAGTAGTTATGTGCAATAGCAGGTTGGACACTAGCCCCCAATTAAGTGTTGGTTGCATAATTAAATTTGCATATGCTAAGGCAGCCTCGATATTGAATCTTGATGTAAATTTGCATAAAAAGTGAAACCAGCCTTTACGAGCAAACCACGCCCACAGACCAATAAAAGAAGAGAGGGGGAAAAGTGAGACACTTAAAAGAAGGGGCTGGATAGCCATGACATCGTCAGAGGAAGCCTGTGGAGGCAGGTGAAACGCATCACACACGTCACGAGAGAGGCGGCCCCGAAAGTGATCACGTGATCGGGACGGACAAAACCAGGAAGTGACTTTATGTTTGCTGTTTTACATGCTTTTATGTGGGTAGATATGTCAGCATAACTCACCACTCGCAAAGTAAGCATTTTTAATCGTTGTTTTTTTAATAAACTGTATTTGATACTATTCAATTGGAGGTCCTGCCTCTCTCTGTCCTATATTGCACAGTACTACCAATTTCCGGTGAGTTCCAATTTCTTGGAGTTCTATCAGTGTGGGAATCTTCCCTCTCAGTTGGAGCACTGCAAACCCAGCGCCAGGGGTGATAGGGCTCTGGTAAATGTGAGTTTTTTTCCCTCAAACCCCTGTACATATTTTGTTTGGTCCAGATAGTCTGCACTATATTCTGTTTTTCTATATTTACAGATCAGTTTAGCATGCTTTTTTGGTAACTATTAAACATAATGAAACACAAACATTTGTACCTAGTGGCTTATTACAAGGGCTGATTGTATTCAATCATAGTACTTGGTGTGCTGTGCCTTTTTTTCGCCACACATAGTGTTGTGTGTTTCTTCCAAACAACTCAACTTTGGTTTCATCTGTCCACAGAATATTTTGCCAGTACTACTGTGGAACATCCAGGTGCTCTTGTGCAAACTGTAAAAATGCTGCAATGTTTTGTTTGGACAGCAGTGGCTTCCTCTGTGGTATCCTCCCATGAAATCCATTCTTGTTTAGTGTTTTACGTATTGTAGATTTGCTAACAGGGATGTTAGCATTTGCCAGTGACTTTTGTAAGTCTTTAGCTGACACTCTAGGATTCTTCTTCACCTCATTGAGCAGTCTGCGCTGTGCTCTTGCAGTCATCTTTACTGGACGGCCACTCCTAGGGAGAGTAGCAGCAGTGAGGAACTTTCTCCATTTATAGACAATTTGTCTTACCGTGGACTGATGAACAGCAAGGTTTTTGGAGATACTTTTATAACCCTTTCCAGCTTTATGCAAGTCAACAATTCTTAATCATAGGTCTTCTGAGAGCTCTTTTGTGCGAGGCATCATTCACATCGGGCAATGTTTCTTATGAAAAGCAAACCCAGAACTGGTGTGTGTTTTTTAAAGGGTAGGGCAGCTTTAACCAACACCTCCAATCTCATCTTATTGATTGGACTCCAGTTGGCTAACATCTCACTCCAATTAGCTCTTGGAGATGTCATTAGTCTAGGGGTTCACATACTTTTTCCACCTGCACTGTGAATGTTTACATGGTGTGTTCAATAAAAACATGGCAACATTTCATTCTTTGTGTGTTTTTAGTTTAAGCAGACTGTCATTTTATGACCAATTTGTGCAGAAATCCATATCATTCCTAAGGGTTCACATACTTTTTCTTGCAACTGTAGATAGATAGAAATGGATGCATAAATGAAAACATTAATTGTCATTGGTAGTTAAAATGGAAAAATTTATTTCAAATGATCAAGATTGCAATGTTTACAAAATTAAAACTCATCAGTGTGTGGAAAAGTGTGCCTTTATACATTTCTACCTTAAAATAAGAGAAAGCTTTACCTTGAATATTTGCACATAACTCTAAATTGTTAAACTTCTTTGCTTTCAAGGGTATGTCATCTTTTGGCAGCTATGATAAATGATACTCTCAAGCACTCACTTAACTTTTGTCAACTGCACAGCAGTTTCTTTTCCATTTTTAAGTCTGCCCTTGCTACTATTTGCAGCCTAAGTCAACAAAAGCTAGTCTCATTTATAATAATATTAAACACATTTTTAAATGACACTTTAGTGAAAACTAGTGTTTATTTGTTCCCTATGCCATGTACAAGATCATCTACAGTACTGAGTCATTTTGTTAACTTTGATGAAATGACAAAACTCAAATTTGATAAATGTATTCTTTTAAGTAATTCAATGAAGACTCTAAATTATATTGTCTAAGTTTACACTGTTTTTTTCCCCCCAATCACTTTACATGTAACAAAAAATAAATGTTATACAATATGATTATATATGTTATGTCAGGTTCATTATGACTATAAAGTTCATATGCCATATGAAAGTATAAAAGTAATTTTTTTTGTTTTATTTTAAAATATAAAACCTGTATAAACCTTTGCAGAATGTAAAGCAGTAATTATATAAATATACACTTTTCATTTTTCAGTAGAATTTCTAATTTGCACCAAAATGCACATTGGGCTGGGTGGAGTGTGTCAACGTTCACCTAGAGCAGCACTTTATCATATATATATATATATATATATATATATATATATATATATATATATATATATATATATATATAAACCCCTTTTTTTTGAAGTATGTAATAGTATGCTAAAGATAGTTAATACATCAAGCCATAAACTTGCTTTTCCCACAGAAATCCCAAATCAGCAGTGATGTTATAACCGCAAAGGATTCTGGGTGGGCATATGCAAATTAGTTTAACAAAGAATCACATTTTTGCCTCATTCCATTTTAAACATGGATTCATTTTAATCTGTGTTTGCTGTATACAACAGCTTGAAACACAATATAGGAAAAGATGCAAAACCAGTGAACCACTCATGGACAGCTGTTTCGTTGTTAATGCAACTCTTCAGCATGAGGTTGGTTACTGGTTTGCTTAGTGAGGCTTGGTAGTGCTTGGGAAGCAAAATCCAATTAGGTTATGGTGGGGGAAAATTGTGATTGAAAACCCCTTCCACCTGAAGTATGTGGATAGTTAATACAATGCTAAACAAAAATCTGCACACCAGTCAAGCCATAAGACTTGCTTTTGCCACAGAAATCCCAAATCAGCAGTGATGTTACAACCGCAAAGGATTCTGGGTGGGCATATGCAAATTAGTTTAACAAAGAATCACATTTTTGCCTCATTCCATTTTAAACATGGATTCCTTTTAATCTGTGTTTGCTGTATACAACTGCTTGGAACAAAATTTAGGAAAAGATGCAAAACCAGTGAACCACTCATGGACAGCTGTTTCGTAGTTAATGCAACTCTTCAGCATGAGGTTAGTTACTGGTTTGCTTATTGAGGCTTGGTAGTGCTTGGGAAGCAAAATCCAAATAGGTTATGGTGGGGAAAAATTGTGATTGAAAACCCCTTCCACCTGAAGTCTGTGGATAGTTAATACAATGTTAAACAAAAATCTGCACACCAGACTTCAGGTGGAAGGGGTTTTCAATCACAATTTTTCCCCACCATAACCTATTTGGATTTTGCTTCCCAAGCACTACCAAGCCTCAATAAGCAAACCAGTAACCAACCTCATGCTGAAGAGTTGCATTAACAACGAAACAGCTGTCCATGAGTGCTTCACTGGTTTTGCATCTTATCCTAAGTTGTGTTCCAAGCAGTTGTACACTGCAAACACAAATTAAAAGGAATCCATGTTTAAAATGGAATGAGGCAAAAATGTGATTCTTTGTTAAACTAATTTGCATATGCCCACCCAGAATCCTTTGCGGTTGTAACATCACTGCTGATTTGGGATTTCTGTGGGAAAAGCAAGTATTATGGCTTGACTGGTGTGCAGATTTTTGTTTAGCATTGGATTAACTATATATATATATATATATATATATATATATATATATATATATATATGTATATATAAATAAATATAAATTATACGAAATATACATATGTCCATATACAAAATTACATAAATAATTATATAAATATACACATAGACTTCAAATATATAAATATGCATATATATTTAAATTCTACGTGCGTGTTTATGTAATATTTTTACATAATTAAGTAATTTTATTAATTGCAATTTGAGGGACATGCCTGCCAACCGAGGCCGAAAGTCCAGAGAATTTAATTTGCTAGCACTGTATTTTACCCTGTAACTTTCTATGACACCCTAAAACCTGTACATGGGGGTTACCGTTTTAATCGGGAGACTTTGCTGAACACAAATATTAGTGATTCAAAACAGTATTTGAGAGCGTATGGTAGCCCATTAATGAGAATTACCCTCGTGATGGCATACCATTTGCAAAAGAAGACAACCCAAGGTATTGCAAATGGGGTATGTCCAGTCTTTTTTAGTAGCCACTTAGTCACAAACATTGGCCAAAATTAGAGTTCAATTTAGTTTTTTACTTTTTTCACACACAAACAAATATGAACGCTAATTTTGGCCAGTGTTTGCGACTAGGTGGCTACTAAAAAAGACTGGACATACCCCATATTGAATACCCTGGGTTGTCTACTTTAAAAAAAAATATGTACATGTGGGGTGTTATTCAGAGATTTATGACAGATAATAGTGTTACAATGTCACTATTGATAAATTTAAAAAATGTATGTTTTGAAACCGCAATATCCTTCTTGTACCTATAGCCCTATAACTTGCAAAAAAAAGCATGTAAACATTGGGTATTTTAAAACTCAGGACAAAATTTTTAATCTATTTAACAGTTTGTTTTTTTATTCGCCTTTGTAGATAAGGAAAAGATTTTTCAAGTAAAAGTAAAAAAAACATGTATTTTTTTAAACTTTTCATCATATTTTTTTTTTAAATTAAATTACATGAGATTATATAAATAATGGTATGTAAAGAAAGCCTTTTTTGTCCTAAAAAAATATATATATAATTGTATAGGAAAAGTAAATGAGAGAGCAGAAAATTACAGCTAAACACAAACCCCACAAAAGTGTAGAAAGAGGCCTGGTCGCAAATGTACAACATTGCAAAAACAGTCCAGTCCTTAGGGGCGTAAGCTTACAAGACAAAGATACCAAATTATAAAATCGCGCCATATTAAAAGTTTTTTTTACTGCTCATGTTTTGTGATCTGTAACTACCAAAAAAAAAATTAAAATCCTATACACATTATATATTCTGTAAATCAGAACAACTAAATTAATTTATTTTTAATTATGCACATATTATTATTAAAAAAACTGTAAAAAAAATTATTTTCATTTTTTTATAATAAATAAGCATTTGTATATGTTACATTAAATTAAAGCCCCTTTTGTCCTTTAACAAATGGTATATAATATGTGTTGGTACAATAAATTAGTAAAATGCAAATTGCAGTTGAACACAAACTGCAAAAAATGCAAAAATAGCTTGTGTCATTAAGTGCAAGACAAGCTTTTGAAGCTGTGTCCTTAAAGTGACACTATAGTCCCCAAAACAACTTTAGCTTAAGGACACAGTTTTAGTGTATATATCATGATCCTGCAGTCTAACTACTCAAATCTCTGCAATTTAGGAGTTAAATCCCTTTTGTTTCTGTCCATGCAGCCCTAGTCACACCTCCCCTGGCTGTGACTCACACACCATGCATGAAAACAAAATGGTTTCATTCTCAATTAGATTAAATTTACTTTAAAAGTTTTCATTGCCTGCTCTCTAAACTTTAACCATACACAGAATGCTTCTGTGGGGTATAGCTAGCTATCAACAGTGCAGAGGATAATACATTTTTAAATAAATAGAATTTGCAATGAAGGAAGTGTAAACATTAGCTGACTCTTTACAGGACGTGTTTAGGAAGGCTGTCCAAGTCACATGCAGGGAGGTGTGACTAGGGTGCATACCAAAAAAGTAATTTAACTCCTAAATGGCAGAGAATTGAGCAGTGACTCTACAGGAAAATGATATATACACCATAACTGCTTCAATAAGCTAAAGTTGTTTTGGTGACTATAGTATCCCTTTAATGGGTTAAACACAATGTGCAATTAGGGAAACAAAAATCTTGACATTTCTTTTTCATGAAGTATATAGGGATGTTGTGTGAGCCATAGCCAGGGGAAGATTGGAAAGAGCTGCTTAAAGAAAATAATTTAACTCTTAAATTACAGAGAATCATGGAGCTGTGAGATTGAAGGGGCTTGATGTATACACCAACACTGTTTCATTAATAGTGGAGGCTTGTTCATTGAGGGATAGGAATCTTTGTATTATACCTAACTTTGAATATTGAATTGATATCTTCATAATATACCTAGCTCTGAGTATAGGTATATCTGTAATGTATGCAGCTCCTTATATTGTAGGGATTTAGTCCAGATCATAGAGATCAGAAGATTGTGGCTACAGAGTTAAGGGCTGTAGGAAAAAAAATCACTCTGAATTCTGACTTTAGTAAAAAAAAAACTGTCTGTCTCCATATCAATCTATTAAACTAATACATAATGCAGAATATTCGGAGATCTGTGTTGGCCTGAAATACAATTTGTCTGAATTTGTGCTTATCAAATGATCGGTTGAATCCTGAACTCTGAGCAGACAAATGTACCCAAATGTGTGTGTGATTACGAATCTTTCCAAAGAAATAGATTGATGGGGAAAAAAAAGATGATGAATGGCTAGGGGACAGACCATACATGTGGAATTTATTCACAAATAAATTGAGAAGTGATAAATAGGGGGGAGGAGTCGCAGCGAAAACATATACATATATTTGTTTTTATGTTTTTTATTTTATAGTTTATATTTTTAATATACAATATAGATTTTGCTACTTCTCCTGAGTTTCCGTTTACTTGTTTGTTTTTTCTCACCTGATCTGTAAATCAAGTACTAGCTACAATATTTATACAGTATTTTATTTTAAATGTATGTGCTGGCAACAAAGTAATTATTTAGAACACAACTTGGACAATCCTAATAGATATATTTATCAACATTTATTTATGCAGAAAAAGTGATTTTCTGACACTATTATAACGAACACTTTTGCAAAGAGTAAGAACAAAATGTATTATCTGTGACAAACAGTAGGATTTATTGTACAAATTAGTGTTTCCCTGCATCATATTTAATATAAAATGTGATCATGCCGATAATATTTCACCTGTAAAAATCATACTGTGTATTATATAATTATCTTAAACAGGCTTTGTCACTACAGTAAAAAGACAGCTGAAGTATACATTAACTCTGGGTTTTTTGCCAAGAGGACAGAAATTTACTGGCACAGCTAGAATTTTTAAAATTTGGTCAATTGCCAGTAAAGGTTTGCCTGAGGTTAGCAAATTAGCCCCATTTACAGCATTAAATCATGGTCACTAGTGGGAAGGAAAGCCTTGTCTTTTCTGATTGATTGCAGCTCTTTGGCAGTAACTAATCAGAAAAGACAGAAAAAAAAAATGTGTCTAATATTCTATGTGCTAGCAAAAACCAGGAAAAAAAATGGTGTAAGCAAGCAGTCATTGGTTTAATAAGTGTTAACAAGAACTATACATTAAAGAAATTATTAATTGACTTGTCTATAAAGGTATAGAAGACAGAGGTCATCTCAGTTATCATATGCAATCTAATTTGCAATATAAAAAGTAGTATGTCAATGAAAACATATAGTTGCATCAATGTTTGCTATGGAATGTGTGGAATGTGAGCAGACTTTCAATGCACACAGATAAATCCCAGAATGCCAAGCGTAATGCATTCTGATTATTGGGGACTAGTCCATACTGGGAAAATATGGATGTGTGTGTGTGTGAACCCTCTTCACTATCATAAATGTATTAAATTTGTACATCCGTAAAAGGTTGCAGTATATGCTTGGAAAGATCACCAAAACAACTTTAGCTTAATAAATCAGTTTTGGTGTATAGATCATACTCTTGCAGTCTAACTGCTCAATTCTCTGTAATTTAGGATTTAAATAATTTTGTTTATACAGCCCTTGTCCAACCTCTTTGCATGTGACTTGCACAGTCTTCCTAAATACTACATGTAAAGTGAGAT